ACTACCAGATAAAATCCTCTAGAATAAACATGGGTGGGTGGGGTGGGTAGGGGAAAGGAATTTAAGCGCTAAACTTGCTGCAGCTAGGCAAAGCATACAATGGCAGTATGAATACCCAGACAGAAGCACTGATCACAAGGCGCGAAACAACCCCCTTTAATCGATATGACGTCACAGACTCCCATCAGTGGATGTGGCCTGCATAATACATTCGCCGTTAACCTTGCTTAAATGTATTTAACCACATCAAGATAGCTGATGTAATAATACATTGTCAATTTATCTCTGCAATCAGTAAAGACTGATTTGCATACACCACACAGAAGACAAGATAAATCCAGACTAATTCACACCAGTGACCAGGGACGCCGGAACTGGGGGGGCAGGGGGTGGCGGCTGCCCCCCTTGCCTTTTGCAAGGGGGGGCAGAAGTGCCCTTTTAGTTGTAAAATACTACGTGATAAATTACATTTACAACGATGCTTTTTGTACGAAAATTATGAGATTTAGACAATTTATAGTTAATATTTCACTTTTGGTATGTCCGGAAAAAATTTTTGACCCCTAAAATGGTACACTGACCAAAATTTTTTTGGCGACGGGGGGGGCATTGAAAATTTTCGAGTTAAAAAAAATTTTCCGGAAGATTTTTAAGTTTTGCTTTGTAGAAGTGCCCTTGGTGTGGGTCCGCCCCCCTTTGCTTTATGATCGTTCCGGCGTCCCTGCCAGTGACCATGATCTTGTCGCAATTACAACCAAATGGATACCATGCTTATTAAGCAAATTGCTTCAAATTTAATTGCACCCCCCCTCCTCATTTTCTTGGAAAATGTAATAGCCCCCCTTTTAGTCATTTATTTATACATATGGTCCCCCCCACATTTTTTCCCTCCCCCCCTTCCATAAATAATGACCAGTCCCTTAACAAGTCAAAGAATACTCTAACTGGAGTACCTGCCAAATAATCAGACATAACATTTGCAATTATGATTTTAAATCTAAACAATATCAACGCGTTCAATGTTTTCCTTAAATATATTGCTAATTAGCTACAAGTTTTTGTTAAAGAACAGCATCATGTCAACATTTTATGCCTTCAGTCTGTTGCCTTCATGAAGTAATAAGCGATTGGTCAGCAATACTGACCGAAAACATCGCAGGCTCAAGTGGTATCGAATTACCGAATACCGATACTTTTTTCGAGTATCGCAAGTATCGATACTTTTGTAAGTATCGATGATTTCGATACTTTTTCGATAGTATCGCCCATCACTAACAAGGGCCTTGGAATTCAATAGAACATCAGGTTCGAAACCGCATAATATTAACTTTCACGTCTTTTTCGATTATGCACCTGGAATAACCTTCTTTGTTTCTTCATAAACTGTCTTTTGATACACGAGTAAGGCATCGATAGAAAGCTTATGGACCGTAGATTCTAAAAATACAATTTTAAGACCGTGACAAATTTACGTCTTCGCTACAGGGACCTTGAAATTCAATAGAACATCGCATTCGAGACAGCCCAAATCCTAACCCTCACTTATAAAATTCTAACTTTATCGTCTTTTTCGATTACACAGCTGGAAAAAACTGCTTTTTTCTCCACATCCGGCCTAGTGATGCCCGAATGAGGCAGCAACAGAAAGCTTATCGATCGTAGATTCCAGAAATACAACCTTCAGGCTAGCCCAAATTCAAGTCTCTGCTACAAGAGCCTTGAAATTCGATGGAACATCAGGTTGGAAACCGCATAATATTAACTTTCACGTCTTTTTCGATTATGCACCTGGAATAACCTGCTTTGTTTCTTTATAAACTGTCTTTTGATACACGAGTAAGGCATCGACAGAAAGCTTATGGACCGTAGATTCTAAAAATACAATTTTAAGACCGAGTCAAATTCACGTCTTCGCTACAGGGACCTGTAAATTCAATAGAACATCACATTCGAGACAGCCCAAACCCTAACCCTCACTTATAACATTCTAACTTTATCGTCTTTTTCGATTACACAGCTGGAAAAAAACTGCGTTTTTCTCCACATCCGGCCTAGTGATGCACGAATGAGGCATCGACAGAAAGCTTATGGATCGTAGATTGCAGAAATACAACTTTCAGGCTAGCCCAAATTCAAGTCTCTGCTACAAGAGCCTTGAAATTCGATAGAACATCAGTTGGAAACCGCATAATATTAACTTTCACGTCTTTTTCGATTATGGACCTGGAATAACCTGCTTTGTTTCTTCATAAACTGTCTTTTGATACACGAGTAAGGCATCGATAGAAAGCTTATGGACCGTAGATTATAAAAATACAATTTTGAGACCGTGACAAATTCATGTCTTCGCTACCGGGACCTTGAAATTCAATAGAACATCACATTCGAGACAG